CCGCGCGGTAACGGGGCTGCGCTCTGCAGGCAGGCGGCTTTCTGCAAGCCCGGCTGTTGCAGAGGCTGCAGAGCGAGCCCAGCCTGTCACATGCAAATGTCAGAATAAGATGCTACCCTCAAACAGGAACCACTTTATGAAAATCAGCAAAGCCCTTCCCAAACTGCCATGGAGCAGGAGCGCGCCGGCTCTCGCGGGGAGCAGCCTGAGACGAGGGGTAGCACCGTGTGCGTGGGGCCGGGCGTGCGGCTCACCCAGCGCTGAGCTGAGCTGCACAGGGGCAGATGGTGCTAAGCCGCGATCAGCGTCTCAGGAGCCCCCTGGGGCAGGGGGCAGGGATTTGGCTGCCCTGGACTCTGCCATCGGAGCTGGAGCCCAAGCTGCGCGGACAGCACAGGCTGCTAGCTGTAGCGGTCCCGGGCAGGCACAGCCTTCTCCGGGCTGTGGCCAGCGCAGGGCTGTTCCCAGGGCTACTTGCTGTTGTTGCAGTCTTGCTAACGAGACCGGCTCCATTAGCCAAGCCATCTGTCCATGGGCGCGCGGCAGGGACACTGCTCCGCCTGCTCCGGGAGGCACCAAGGCAGCGGCCCTGACCTGCAGAGGTGAGTGCACTAGCAAGGGTTAGAGCACAGCCGCGAGCTGTCACAGCCTCTCTTCTGAAATGCAGACGTGTGCACTCACCTCTGAAAAGATCCAGCTCTTCCATCTTAACATTTAAGACTGAAAGGTTCCCATTTCCTCTTCACTGGCTTTTGGCATGTAAGATCTGATCTTTAGTCAAAGTATTAACTCTTGGGCTGAGGAGGAACAACGCACAGTACCAGAGAAAACGAAATATCCTGGCACAGAGCAGAGGAGGGCAGGATTACGTCAAAGCCATGCAGCATAGTCAGTGTTGTACTGGAGAGGAAGGTTACACAGAGCTGGCTCTGGGACTTTGGGACCCTCGTCTGCCAGGGACACCTTGGACAGTGAGGAGGGGAGGCCAAAGCACGAAGCCCAGGGCAGGCGGCTGCAGCCTCAGAGATGGAAAGGGATTTCTGTTTAAACTGTCCATCCTAAGCGGTGGCAAGGATGAGGGAAGGCAGGGATGTTCCCGCTGCGGCAGCGGGCAGAGCTGCTCTGCGGGAGAGCTCCTGGAAGGAGCTGCTCTCATCGGTGACATCTCATCCATGGGGCAAGAGACCTGCCCGTGTAGCAAAAGCCTCCCTTCTCCACGCTGGTTATCGCCTGCAGATCAAGTAGGAGCTGACATCAGGTCCTGAAGGAGGCTGACTAAGGTGCTGGAGCGCCTGAGCTCTTTCCTGCCGGTTCCCACCCTCCCTCCAGGGGCTGCCAGGCTGGGCAAGGCTTGCTTCCTCCACCTTGCTGTGTTCGGTTAGACTGAGCGCGGCAGGACTCCGTTCTGGAGCGTGCAGAAGCGGGGGTGAGTCCTGCGGCCAGGCTCAGGGGCTTTCGCAGGCCACCTGTGAAAATTGCCCTTCTGTTTGCCAAGGCCAAATCCCCAGGGACGGTTACCCAGCTCATCCTGCTGGTTCTAGGCTGCACTCTCCATGCCACCACCAGGACTTGGGTGGCGTTTCAGTTCAGGCAGTTATCTATGGTCTCTCTAAAGCTGTGACGACAGAGAAGGAACTCGTTGCCTGGTCTCCACTGATTTCTAGTGAAAGGCAAATTCTCACTCTTGCTTGAGCCTCTCAAAAATATGCCAATCTGAGCATTCAGCTCATGGACTTCGGTCTTCGTCCCAGGCAACAGCAGGTCTGCTAAAGAGAGAGAGAGTCATCAAAAGGCAGATGACATCAAGGAAGCAGGGAGGTAATTTGCTAGCTAATTTCCCATAATGAAAGCTGAGCTAAGACTAAACAACTGAGCAAACAAAGGCCTCGGATTCAGCACTTTCAAAAAGAAATACTTAGGCTGACAGGCAGGGTCCTCCCTGCACACACCCAGCATCGGTGGAGCCAGCAGCGGCCCTGCCCTTGCTGGCTCTGGGCAGGTGGTGGGTGTCCCCGCGAGTGCTGTCGTGGCTCGGTGGGCTCTTGGCCAGTGGCCGGGGCGAAGTGGTGCAGCAGCTCCCTGCTGCCCTCTCGCAGCCCGGCAGCACCTTGGCAGGTCACCCTCCGTGCTGATGTTTCCCAGCCCTCCTTAAGGGAGGCGCAGAGTTAAAAATCCTGTTTGGGTTTGCTGCTTTGCCTCCAGCCAGTTTGTCTCAGCTCCGGCGCCCCACCGTTGCCTCCTCGGCCCGCCCTGCCTCCGAGGAGCCCAGCACCGCGGCTTTGCTCGCTGCAGCGCCGTGCACGGCCTGCCCTGCCGAGCCATCGCGGCCCAGGCTCACGGGACCCTCTGCCACATCGCCTGCCCAAAACAGCAAGACCTGCTCATTTCAGCAACTCTCCCATGGCAGCAGAGCATGCATGAAACACAGCCCTTAGCCCAGGCCCAGGCTGCAATTGGCAGCTCTTTGCTCAGTCTTATCCCAATATTAAAAGGCAGCATCAGCACCCAGTGTCGCTTGGATCTGGTTTGCCTGAGTGCTCTGTCTCCGGAGCTCAGCCTGCAGTTTTCTTCATTGTTAAAAGACCATGCACAGGGAAATGCGAGTCCTTCCCACAACCCTCCGCTGCTTGCCGCCCTTCTGCACCCCGCTGTCCCACCGGCCGAGGGAGACAGCAGAGAGCATGCCATAAGCGTAGCCCGGAGGAGGGGGCTGCCTTGCGTCCTATTTGAGTTCAGGACAGAGCCTAATAAAGCCAATGCTTTCTTCTCTTTCCAGGTCAGTGTTGGACACACTGTATGAGACATCCCAGCTCCAGCAGTACGCAGCGTCTGGGTGCCCATCGGGTGACTGGGAACAGCGCAGTTTGTTACTGAGCGTGAGTGTCCGAGTTCTTTGCATTGTCAGTATTAGATATTTGAGCAGGGATTTCCCCTGCTCAAGCGAATGATTTTATTCCTTTGAGAAAACAGTACTTCCATTGCTGCTCCAGCTGGGTGACTGCAGTGGAGGTATCCAGAGACTTCCTTTCTCCAAAACATCAGTCAGTCAGTAAAACAGCAGGAAGAGAGCTTTCCTTGTCCCTGCCTCTGCTATGGTTTTACTCTCGGCTTCTGACATAACCAGGTCGCTCTTTCCACAGTTTCCCAGCCTAGATGAGGACTGATTACTGATCTAGATGGACATGACTCACTGCCTTTTCTAATGAACAACTTTCCTATGTTTATGTGCTTTGGCGGGGACTTTCACGTATCTAATAAAGGAAGGGAATAGCACTGGGGAGAGGGCAGGGGAATCTAAATTGCTGGTATCTGTATCCAACCTGAGATGTTTCTCACCATCTCCTGGGACTCCAGCCAGTTGTGAAGTTGCTGCTTTTGAAAACAAACAAACAAAAAAACAAACTAATCTTCCACATGCTAACCCTGGAGACATGCTGTCCAGACCCACAGGTAGGCTGCCTAAGCCCTTAACAAGTAATTGGAGCTAATTAAACTGGGAGATTTTTCATTAATACCCGTCCAGGCAACGCCTGGGGGCCCCATGCTAATAAGCACTGTACAAACCCAGAAACACCTTACCCTACAGAGGTCGGCCAGCAGGAGGTTGTCCAGGCCACAGCAGGGAGAGTTGGGTTTTCCTTTCCTCTTACATAGACAAGGCCTCATGGGACAGCTGCCCTGCTCATATGTTGTTGCTTGTCTTTTGCAGTGACTAAGTGGAGGAAGCTCTTGCTCTTCTTGCACCACCAGGCCAGACAATCCTTCCCTTGGCTGAAGATTATGTTGGATCTCTTCCCATAATGGAAGCGTGAGTGCCAAGATCCTCCATGACCTCCAGAAGCCACAACTCCTTACCGAGAACTCTGATGGCTCCACGAATGCTTTCCGAAGGTGCCCTTGGGGGCATCGCCCAAATCACCCCCTCGCTGTACCTGAGCAGGGGCAGCGTCGCCTCCAACCGGCACCTGCTCCTGTCCCGGGGAATCACCTGCATAATCAATGCTACCATTGAGATTCCCAACTTTAACTGGCCCCAGTTTGAATATGTGAAAGTGCCTTTGGCTGATATGCCCAATGCCCCCATTTCCCTGTACTTCGACAGTGTCGCTGACAAGATAAACAGCGTGGCACGGAAGCACGGGGCCACCTTAGTCCATTGCGCAGCCGGTGTAAGCAGGTCGGCCACCCTGTGCATTGCCTATCTGATGAAGTACCACAAGGTGACCCTGTTTGAGGCTTACAACTGGGTCAAATCAAGACGTCCCGTTATACGCCCCAATGTGGGCTTCTGGAGGCAACTGATAGACTACGAGAGGAAGCTCTTTGGGAAGACGACGGTTAAAATGGTACAGACACCATATGGCATCATCCCAGACGTTTATGAGAGAGAGAGGAGACCCCTGATGCCTTACTGGGGAATTTAATGTGACTGCACACAGGAAGCACAACAGAAGGGACTCGCTGTTCTGAGTCTACCAGACTGGAGACATTCCCTTCTCTTTCTACAGCCAACTTTGGTTCTTTACCATACAGCAGAACCTCAACTAATTCTCACCTCACTAACCTGCAAGGTCAACAATTCCCTTCAAAGCATTTCTCTCTACAGGGATTCCCCAATCCATATTTCTCTGATTTAGCAGACTTATAAGTTTATTCCTTTCATAAAGCCTCCCTCTCTTTTTAAGTCAGTTTATTAGTATCCTACAAGGAAAGGCCTAAAAGGCATTTGGCAGAGTTAATGAACAAAGTAACGCTTTGTGATGCGGTAGCCTGGATATTTCTTTAATAGCTTGTTTGCTTCCTTGCAAAATCCTGTAGCGGCTAGGGAGCAGCACTAGCACAGAATGAATGAGGTCCTACTCTAACACAGTCGGTTTTACTAAGAGCCAGGAAAGGAGGAGTCCGGAGTTGTGGTGCTAGTGCTGGCATTTTCTTTAACATCTGTAGTAACTCTCAGTATATAGTGTTTGAGATCTTTCGTAGGCTCTTAATCTGTATCAAAAGTCAAAAAAGAGTGAAGTCAGTCCATGTCGGCCACAAGTACAATAAAATTTAAATGGTTCAAACCAAATAAATACAAAGTCCTTTTTCACTCATTCCATGCCAGGGCAACAGTCCTGGAATACACTTACACTTCTGAAAAATACTAGTGTTTTCTGTGGGTGGAGAGTAAACAGAGATCTCGTCCAAGCGTGGGTCAAGACAGAAGCGAGTGGTTAGCCTGTCCTGCACTGGCCAGCCAAAGAAACGTTTAGGAAACTTTGTGTATAGGGCCACCTTCCAAAGGGGCCGAGCTGTGTTTTCTAATACTCAATCAACCAGTAAATTGGAAGTAGGTAAATCTGCTTGATTATTTAGTTCTAAGTATGGTCGTGATCTGCCTTAGCCCGTTTCTAAATCACTTCATTATGTCCTCAAGGTTATGTTGCATTCTAGAATTATTCTACGCAAAATGGCAATCTATTAAACCTCCAAGACAAAGATGGCTTTACGGAGAAGGCTTTGCCTTGTTTTATTTATGATGAGAAAGATTCCAGCTTGAGAAGTGGGAGAAATTTTTCAATGGTATAGCGGCTGGATCCTGAGTGTCGTTCACTCCCTTGCAGAGGGGAGGGTGCTACTTTCGTTAAAGCATAACTGGACCACCAGGAGGACAAAGCAAGTTAAGTTCCCCGATGAGACATTTCTGTCCTTTGCTGCATCTCTGAAGGAGGAATACAGATTGCTGGATGCTGAGATAGCTATCTGATTTAAATGAGATTCTATACTTGTAAAAAAAAAAAAAAAATCAATAAAGATTAAACAAGAACATGTGTTGGCTTCCTATTCAGAACCGTGCTAATGTATCTAGAAGAACAGTGAGAATGTGGTTTAATCCTGACCAGCAGCTTTATGCAAATCTCAGGTTCAATTCTGAAAAAACAAACAAACAAAAAACCCCAACAAACAAAAACCCAATGATCTGTTCCAGTCCTTTGGTTGATCAGTTTACGATTCATCTAGGTGTCCCACAATTCCTGATTCTCATCACAAGAGCTAGGCCATGAACGTGGCTTTTTCAAAATGTGTTTCTTCTAGAGTCCTGACTGAACAGCCAGTATCATGGTTCTAAAGAATACTAGAAATGATTGAAGATGTTCTCCAGGCTGAACCACATGGTGCGAGGTTTACAGCATAAGCAGGTTTCTGGGTTCCCAAGACTGAAAGCCACTAGACTGAAATAAATACAGTTATCACTGACAGAAAGCCATGTGAATTGCCTCAACCTCATTTGAATCATTAGTAAAACCAAACCTGGTTGGAATAAGAGTTTAGATTAGAATGAATTTAATGCAGGCTTTCATAAACTCAGACTGAGAAGTCTGTTTTCACATTCACTGCAAAGTTTTACCAGACTGGGCAAATGCCACTTGCTTAAAGTTGCTCACCAGGAGAAGGAAACTGCGTAGTAGTTTCTAGGCTCAAACAAAAGGTCCGGGAAGGTCAGCGAGAGGACTGCCGTAGGAGTTAGCAGACTTTAAACTGGGCCCAAGGCTATTTACTGGGGGTTTGGAGGCACAATGGCACAAGACAGCGCTCTCTATATCCTAGAGACATCAAAGTCGCGAGGTCGGCTGTAAGGTCAACAAGTTACATTAATACCAAATTCTGCACGTAGCGAGATCATTGTGAGAACAGTTACAAGTTTCTCGACATTATAAGGGAATCCAAAGCGTTCAAAAGAACTTGCCTACGTACACATATAGCCCATTCTCCCTGCAAACCCTTCTTTTATCTGCTGCGTTATGCTTGGACAAAACTGCAAGTGAAAACACGTGATAGTTCAACACACAGTTGTTTTAAAGTGATATCGATACACGGGTCTCAGTGTCCTTCAAGATCATGAATACATTTAGCTCAGTCCTGCACTGACAAAGGGAAGTCTCTTCCTGCTTTTGCAGATGAGCAAGACTGAAATTGTGGCCCACTGCAATTAAAGCAAGTTTTGCCATCAAATGCATGCAGTTCAGATTTCACCGGTTGTGTCACTCGGCCCTGCTTTCCGTGACAAACCAGGAGACACAGGAGACTAGCCATTTAAGTAATACACTCTACTCTTACTTCTCTGCTTTTATCATGAGTTCAACAGCACAAGGGAAAATGTAAGCTAGAGAAGCAACTAGAGACCAAGAATGAGGACTAACAATAATTAAACTAAAGACATTCTGAAAACATGATGTTTTAGAGGGAAAGACACTTTAAAAAAAATGAAATCTGCTTTCAAAATTAAACTTTACCTAAAAATGGAGTATGTATAATTTAACAGTATTTTCTAATACAAAACCTGGAGGGTAAAAATTCTCCATCTGGGGGGAAGGGGAGATACTAATGTTCAAAATAGAAAGCATCAACATTGCCTTTTAAACAAAAGGGAAAGTTAGACCTCTAAAAACTGGAATTGTCTAATAAAGCACATTCTGAAATAAAGAATTCATTTGAAATGCTCATTAGAGATTATGTTTTGCAGAAGTATGGTATTAACACTTATGGGTATTTCTTTCCAAGAGTTCCTTTTGTCTTCATTCCAACCGAAGATATTTTACATAAGTCTGTGTTCTTCCTCTCCAAGTCTAATACTTCATGCATCCTTAAATCTATAAGGACCAAAGAAAAGATCTGTAAACATGTTAACTCTCTGATGGCTGCAGTTTAATTCAAAACTACTGTAAACACACCCACTGAATTTGAGGGAAAGGTCCTTCCTGCTATTAATAGCCTCTTCTGAATGGAAGATATCTTAATTGTTTGCAGAATATTTTTATAACTGTTATTAGGTGAGACATCTTTTAAATATGAGCCACCACAGAGTATTTCACTAATATGGCCTCATTATGTTTAAGGCCTTTTTGGTCAACCTTTCAAAAGTTCTCCTGAGACATGAAGAGATTTCACCCGTCCACGCGCACCCACGGAGAAGCCCCAGCAGGACAGCGCCCGGAGAGGGCGCGTGCTTTGGAGGCGACAGGCTGCAGGTACCTCCGCCAACAAGCAACAAAAACGGCAGCTTTTTTCCAGCTGCATCCTGGAACAAGCCACTTCACAGTTTTGTCAGAAATGAAACGAGTTCTTTATTGAAATCACGGTTTCATGGATCTTGACAAAGGATTTATAAATCATGGCAAGAATTAAAGGAGTAAACAACGTACTAAAAAGTCAATTAGTAATAGTTATTGCCACTAGTTTTAAAGTATGAGGAGCAACTCCGACACAACACAAACAAACAGCTCCAACTACTAATCACAAAACGACTTCTGTAAGACAAATAACATTTACCTAAGGGGGGAAAAAAAAAAATCAATATAAAGGGAAATGTTCTGAACGCTCTTCTTAAATTACATTTATATTTTAATATTGAGAACTGGAATTAAATACAGGTCCAGAGAGCAAAAACATATTCAAGAAAGCAGTCTGTACAATAGCAGTTCTTATTGAAAAGGCAGTTTTTGTTTCAAACTTAATTAAATTGACATTAGAAAACAGTGTATTCCTTGAGTTTTCAAGAGCTTCTCCTTCTCAGCCTTAGGTTGAGCTTCACTATGACTTCATATTTACCACACAGTTTTCGAGGAGGAGCTGCTCAAAACAAACCCAGGTGAAGAGAAGCTGCTGCCAGAGTTGAAAATTCAGTGGAATGTTCAAGTGCAGAAAGTAACAATTCACATGCAACAAAGAGTCTCCAAATTTTTTTACCAAATATGGGTCAACAAGCTTGTGAGGATACCGAAAACAAAACATGACGACGGATGGATAGCAAATCAGGTTGGAACAGTTGGCTCACTAGCACTCCTACTGCCACGGAAATGATAACTTCAGCTGAAACATGCTAAAATAGCATAGAAGCATTAGGAATACAACTAAGCAAAGTGATACATAAAATAAATTAACCAAGCAAATAATCTCTTAAACTCCAAATATACACAAATATATAGAAAAGTCGCTTTCCATAGGTAACCCCAAGGCAGATGCAGATAACACATATATTAAAAGGGAAAAACAACAACAACAACAACAAACCAGGTTTCTCACATTTTCCTAGTGAAAGAATACATCCAAAAATAGTTACACTTATACAATGCAACCCAACCAAAACAGAAGGCAGTATGCGGATTAACCTGCCTGCAAACGAAGCAAGGGAATGTGGTCTGATACACCGCACCGCAGAAAATACTGTAACCTTGGATACAGATTCCAAGGGCACGGGGCCTTTGGCTAGCAATGTAATAGCTGAGATGCTGAATGCAACAGTGAGTCATTTTAATGACATGGGTATGTAAGTGAAATGATCCTCCCTGTGCAATGCCCTTATCAATGGTATCTAAATGTAAAACACTCAGTGTATTCCCATGACGTAAAGGTGTTTAGAAAAACACTTTCTGCTTGCCACAAATGCATTATTATTGCCTGCTGCTTTCCCTTCAGTAGGGAGCAAGCAAGTAGTAATGTCATACTTCAGTAAGCTCTACTGCAATTATAATTGTAAATGTCTATTCCTTATTTTTATGTGCCAAAAAAACATGCTAGATACATCTTAGAGAAGGAACCTACTCGCTTAACAAATAAGTTGCAAGGAAAACATCCCTGAAAAAGATTTTTATAACAATCTAGCTGGTACTGTATTTGAAATATCGGTTACTTTAAGTATCATGTTGCGGCCAGTTTTATTTGTGGCATTCTCTTTTATTTTAAAAAGCTCCTATCCAGTTAGGTGTCCAAGAACTGTGGTGGAAACCCATGTTAATAAATTCCCTTTTCCCAATATAGTATTTTAATAAGCAATAGCCTTTACGTCAGCTACATACTCAAAATCACTTGAGAAGCCTCCTTGCTAGCGGCAAGACTAGGCATTTGCTTGAAGTTAGACAACGCTTAAATGCTTTTTCTAATCCGGGATGCAAAAGTGAGTGCTAACTTACTATGCTTAGAAGACCCCAAATATCCATGGGAATACTTTCAATAGTGAGGTATACAGCAGTCCTCAACTGTGAGGAAAAACAATATGTGCAGTCAAAAGCTAAGGTGCAGACTACTGTAACTATTTCATACCTAATAAATAAAATAGCAATGAAGGAGAACTGCCCTTTTTTGATAATTACGGGGCAACAGAGGCAGGCGCTCACTGTCACACTATTGAAAACCTGCCACGTGATTAGCTTGAGCTTGCAGCTGGAGGCACAAGTTGTTCATTTTATGAATGAGCTAATTTCAGGCAGCATGAAAATTTATTTTGATCTGTGTAAATAAGGGCCAGACACCTAGCACTCTTATTAACCAAAATTCTTTCATTTGGCATAATTAATAGAATATAACTAAGCTTTTTATTATATAAATGAAGTATCAATTTTCTTGGTAATTTCATTTTCAGCAAATAACCACTGGTCAGCGTCAGCTACTCATAACAGAGGCAAGATTCTCTTGGAGAAGCTGTCAATATCTTTGGAGAGAAGGAAGCTTTTCTAGTGATCTGAGAAACTTAAGTAAATCAATGAGTTAAGAAGTAAGTTGCACTAAATGCAAATACATCACATTTCATCCCCTCTAAGCTGAATAAGACTGCATAATGGTAAGGCTCTTAAAATAATGACACAAAGCTCCCACTAGATTTAAAATTCTGTAGCTAGCACTACATCTGACTGCACTGCCATCTTAACGTTGTAGCTGAAGTAAAAAAAAAAAACAAAAAACACAGGTACTTTAGATTTATGGGTAACATTTTGTGATAGCCTGATCAACTAACCTTTTACTGCACAGAAAGGTGTACCTATCATTAGCAACAAAATGGCAGGTTTGCAATAGCCCGCTTCAGAAAATAGCCTGCTTGAGTAAACCAACTTCCAGTGTTAGATCACACCTACCTGTAAGTAGGAGCTACGGGACATCTTGTACTGGCAGTTTTAAGAATCAAAAAAACGTTATTACAGATAGCACTAGACTGCACCAGTTACCCACAGGAATCCCATCAAGAAAAGCATACTGACATACAGAAAGGATAATATATACAGCAGCAGACACTTGGTATCAGTGGAGTCCAATTTTCAACAGTAACACAGCCACACAACTACCTAAGGGTAACATGAAAGGCATAACAAATCACATCCGTAGTTTAGGACAACCCCAAGGCAAGAATTTGTCTAGCATTTACAACAGAATAGCAGAGATTGCAAGTTTTAAAATCCAGCTGCCTGTACTAAAGAATCAAGATACGACAGCGAAAATTTCAACAGTTTTTCCAAGCTCTTATTCCCTCGTATTAACCAGTTATGTCTATGAATACAGCGTAGTTTACAATACAGAGCAGTAGAAGTATAAATATACAATGACTCTCTGAAGTTCAGTTACTAAGTCAATAACTCATTTTGCCTCGAAAGTTACTGTGGCTTGTGCATTGTAATAGTATAGCAGCAAATGTTTAAAGAAAAAACATCATGGTCCATATACCAAAAATATTAAAGAGAAGACTTGTTTGCAAATATGTATTTCAAGTATTTAAGTGGTCACTTCCATGCAAATCGGTCTAGCATTTCAGTTTTTCTTGGAAACTAGGTATGGTACCATGTCACAGGTTTATGCATTTTGATTAGCTGACCGGTTTGATGCGAACACTAACCTACTTTCAGCTTGAGAAAGACTGAAATGCTGCATTTTGTGCCACACTACATTATTTTCCTGGTTTCTGAAGACCTCAGAATTCAAGTGAAATTCTTCATGGAGAGCTTGTATATTTGACTGTGGCTTTAACCCATTATTGTATAAAGATCAAAGCCAAACATTTGAAATACTAATCACAGTTCAAAGAAGCCTTTCCGCTTATTCTATCAATTATTACCCCAAGCGTCCAACATTATTAGAGCCTGATAATCCACCTTCAGCAGAACTCCCTTCAGAGCAAGTCTGGCAAAATGAGACCTGGAGGTTTTGGCTCCACGCAGTTGATCCAGAAATTTGCACAGCTTGCATGGTACTGGTGCCCTCCATAAGCCAGTTTAAAGTTATCCGTTTCTGAATTAAAGGCCTAGAATAACAAGAATTGAAACAAGTGTGACAGTCTCATCTACTCCATGATCTAGAAACTAGAGTGGAAAGCGGCTATTGCACAGGCATTCCCCCCAGAATGGCATAGCACGGAAAAACCCAGACCCTCTCACTCTGAATAGATCATCTCCACTTGCAGAAAGAGAGCAGCCAACGAATAAATTTTTATTTTAGCCCGCAAAACGTTTGCAGATGGACAAAACTTCCAGCCATAATACCTGATGTATACTTTGTCCGTTACAGCGTGTATTAAGGAGGAGTAATCTGGTTAGTGTTCCATTTGATCAGAAACCTGGGAGCTAACTCACCTCGTTTCATGCACCTTCTACTAGTTCTCCTACATATCTACACAAAGGAAGAGCTTGTTCTGCCAGCCACTAGCTAGCTACTGCGTTTATTTCACTGGGTCAAATTTTGCTGTGATTTAAGCAAGTGGATATGAGTGGATATAACACTTGGTATGAGTGTTATCCTTCTATGTTTCAGGTTGAATTTGGTCCACTTTCTTCTATTAAGTGAATCTGCTTTACAAAAGGAACTTCTGAACAGGGTATGTAAAGCCATGAGCAAACCTAAAGCAGTTTGATATAAGTTGCTAGGAGGAGCAACTGAAAACAATTTTGTTAATCTAGACCCTCTGAGATAAAGTTGATTTTGTTGTTTTTCCTATTCAAAAAGAGAATGGTTAGCAGCTGTTTGTACTTCAAAAAGGTTTCTAATGCTTCATGGCTACTTGTTAAAAAGATTCTAACCCTCTCCCTCATGACCCCAGATTTCCTCCACAGATTTCAAAAAAATGCCATTGCCTACGGCATATAGCCAAAAGTCAATATGTGTAGCAAACAAACTAAGGTTTCCCACCTTCTGCAACACAGACACAGGCAGCTACAAATTCAGAAACTCACTGCGGTGAACTTTCTACCACACAACAGAAGTAGCACAAAAACAGAAAGCTATTCACAAAATACAAGCATGCAGACAAGACAAAGGGGAGGCTCCAGAGTATGTTAGTTGATCAGATCAAGTATTACAGTCACAAAAAATGACTTGAAGAAAAGGAGTCATGATTGGTACAATTGAGAATGACAGCTGAAGGCTAGTCAGCAATTCAGCCTTCCACACTCAACTAAGAGAATGATTCTATAAAGAATATTTTTTTTTATAGGTTCATACTTTTCTAGGAAGCTCTTCCACAGGTTTCTCTTCTTTCTGAAATAACGTTGAAACCAAAAAGTCAACAAAACCGACGATAATATATTAACTGGTTGGTATTACTCTGCACGTATCTTGGGATTCCCTCCCAGCTCTGCTAACTGTAATAGGCCCCTTCTGGCGATCTTCAGAGATGCATTTCATAAAAAAGTCAGTAAAAGATTATTATTAAAGTCTCAGTACTCCAGTTACTTCCCCATTCTGAAGAGTTTAACTCGTCAAGCCTTTATCCACAACTGTCACCTGTCATACCCCAGGCCCAGCGAATACAGGCCATGGATTATTTGACTCCCATCTATAGGTCAGCTTTTGCCTTTGCTACTTCCAGTTACAAACTATAGCCATGAAGATTTGTAAATACACTCAAAGCATAAACACAGTCAGATCTAAATCGAGTTTGACAATAGAGGCCATGATACTTACTTTACTTCTTGAATCCACGTTTAGGAGGCACACCCCACAGGCAAGATCTTGGGCATTTTTAATGCCTGGACGCAGCATACAAGATGAGAAATCCAGTGAGTTTTCATCTGGCTAAAAAAAAAAAAAAGAGACAGTAAAATTTACATTTGCAGTGACCGAAACAATTTTGGACATCATGATAAAAATTATCTATCTGGTTGCTACAGAGAGGTATCAAACAACCAACATGGCAGAGACAAATTACATTTTCTCAAATTGATGCATGATTCAATCAAAGCCATTAGTATATATTTGCAAGCCTGCTATGCAATCTCCATCAATATTAATTTATAACTCTCATGCTCTTGAAAAAAGATTAGACAACAGAGGAAAGAATTTTTAAGTTCTATGTTACCACATCAAAAGAGGAAGAAAGTTTTGAAGCAAGAGCGCAGGCAGCTGCTGTTACATTTCAACTGCAGCATATTAAGAACTGGATGAAGATAAACAGTGGTATGCAACAACTATTTGTGCAGCTGCAAGGAAACAAGACGTTGGCCAGCATAGCTTTCAATAGTATTTGAAGTGGTATCTGTATCAGTGTTGATTGTCCTGGATTCCATATTATTTCCTCATCACAAAAAAGCAGTTGTTATTCTTTCTGAAGGTTTTTCTGAATCTAGAATATTGCACAGCAGTATAAAATGGAACCATATTGGGCTAGCCAAACCATATAAGAGCTAAGGTTACCAACTGTCTTATGTTATACACATGCTCAGGTTAAAGAGAGATTAAGATTCAGAGAATATGCCTGGAGATAAATAAATAAGAGAGCTAAGTAAATACATTAATTTTTCTGGCATACAATCTTACATTTTGGTCACAAAATAAATGGCAATTGAAATCTGTGTGGTACAGAGCTGTTGAAGCTTTGCTTGAACACAGTAGTATAATCAAAAACAATCCCTAGAAAATGCAAGAGGCTTTAAAAAAAGTTGTCTGACCACAGAACACACGTGTACTCTTAATCCATACTCTAGCTAGGCTAATCTCATGCTTCCCCAGCTGAATCACTGGAGAATAACTGAAATACTGAAAAAAACATAGATTAAAGTAGATCGATCAAATTAATAAAGGTGCTCTAATATTTGTTTACCAAATGCATGAGTGAGGCAAATGAGAAGGTCATATTGTAATTTGCAATGAAAACCATGAAGCTATGCATAAAATTGCCTTATAACAAAATCCTTTAAAAGACAAAATTAACCTTTCCAGGCACATGCCTGTGAGCTAGGATATTTCTACATACTTATTTGGCACTGCTGCACCATTTAGGATCTGTGACTGCAATTTGAGAGGAAGGTACAATTCCCTACATTTCATTGCTCCACGTGGAGGAAAAAACAACAGAAAAGGAATCAGAAAGGGAAGTCTCTCTCTTAGATGACTTCAGAGGTACCGTGCATGAACGAGAAGTCAGTGTTTGCAGCTACTGCTGTGCTCAAAATTTAGCTGGACTGCTACAAGCCAGGAGCCACTACAGCTGCGATGACATGCGGGCAAGCTCAGACCTTAAGGTAATCCCTGTAATCTTCCAAGGAAAAGCAGTTTAAGAACTAAATTTTAATCCACTTGCTTAAATCAGGACAGAATATCCTGACAGCTTTTTAGATTGTCAGTATCAACACTACCAGATTTCCAACAGATGAATCCTAGTCTATCAACTTCATCTGCCAAGTAGTAAAATCTTGAAAGTGTAAGCTTCACACCCTGACGTGACCTGTGTAACACAGTGTCACCAAGGATATCTGCTTGCTACCACTATTTGTACTGCAGAGGTTTAAAAAGATGTAAAAGATGTGTAAAAATGGACTGATAGTTTATAACACATACTGTGCAGGGAATGACTGCTAGATCAAGATGGCTATTTCAAGCAGAAACCAAGCGTTCAGGGTCTCATTTATAAACAACTGTTCCCTGAGGAGCAAAAATTTTGCCATAATTGCATTGCAAGAAGGGAGCCACAAATTAAGATGTTCAGTTAAAAGATCACGGTAGCAACCCATTTATTAACTTAAGAAATAAAGACTCCTCACGTACATACTGAGTCAAAAGAATGCATTATGCTAGACCATATCAAGCACCTACGGACAGGTGATTGCCAAAGAACGTGAGCTTTATTGTGGTTAAAGACAGTCATTTGCAATTTTCTGCAACATACACACAGAGTGCAGAATATTTAATGGCAAGTTGATTCTCTTCTTTCTATCTTTATATATTCTGCTCCTGGCCCCCAGCATGCCCTTATTCCTCCCAGTTCCTTTGAGTATGCTTCCCATCTGGGGCTCCTTCTCTTAACTACCTCTCAGAGAGCCCCTCACCATCTCTCCCCATAACGCTTGCTCAGCTATGTAGAAAGCTCTCAAGAGCTCCTTTTCTCTCAGATCACTTGAGCTCTCTCTGGCAGTTCTGTCCAGAGACGGAAAAACTATTTTGTCTGTAGCAAGAACTAAAACAAACTTAGGCATTTCAAAATCCAGAGAGAAAGGAAAATTTCTTAGTTATTCCTGCATTGCTACATGGTGCGCTCCTGCATTGTGAGCATTAGAAGTAATTGCAGGAACGTTATAAAGACAACTTATGTCCACGCTATTCTGGCTTCATATAATGGCTTAAGTTTTAATACATTTTCTTTATTAGAAAGGTCCACAGAAATACAGGATCTCATCTAAATCATTAAGACACTAAGACAACATCATGCTTGCACATAAAAAACAGTTACAGAGAGCTTTAAACCTGCTTCTACAAACAGGCGTATCTCTATTTTGCAAAGGGAAATAAAAAAAAAATTGGGAATTTAGGACACACTGTGAAGTCACTTTACATGCAATTATGAGGTTTCTTCTAGAAAAGCCATAGCTTATTTTTGGTCTTACCGTTAAAGCAGCAAGTGACATGAAGCTTATTAGGTTGTTCCACACTTTATCAATATCCTTCAGAAGCTGTTGGAGTTTCTCACTACACACAGCAGTTGCTTTGATACCCAGTTCAACTCTCTTTGTTACTCTATAGACCTCAACGACCCCTGTTGATATTAAACATAATGGAGAATTGCAGATAAGCTAACTGCAAGCACACGTTCCTGAAACTGTAACTCAGAAATAGCAGGTAATATGTATGTCACGTGTAAGGTGGTCATGGATGTTTATATCACAAGTAACTGTTGAATTCATTTAGCAGAAGAGTTGCTCATTATTTCAATGCAGCCATAGATTAAGCTAAAAAATAATACTATATTGGGAAGAGTGATCATATATTAGTATTTTTCAGAGGAGATCTTTTAACGGATATGATAAATTAACACATACCTAATAAATATTCCATGCCTTGAGCAGACTGGATAACTTCAGTGCAAACAGATGAACTACTTATTCCATTTAAGGTATCATTTGCTTTCTTTATTACCTGGTGGAAATGAATTTCATGAAACGGTGGTGTTATCTACCTTAAAATACTTATTACAAAGACGACTGTCACCAACACAAACTGTTTTAATTTGCCTTTTGTATATAAAAAAAATTTGCCATACTTCCTCACATGATTTTATACATTCATGCTGTAACTCTTAAGCTGATCAGGTAAAAGTATGAACTTTTAAAATTTCAATGTATTCCCCTCAAATATTTTCATTACTAAAATAATACTTTTAGCGTATGCATGCTTTGGTATCTATTTTAATAAGAGCATTTACAATTTTTGCTTACACTCAAATGTAAAAATGAAATCTTAAAGAAAAATACTCTGGTTGCGAAACATCTCACACGTTACCAAAAAATTAACGGCCTCTCCCCCGCCACACTGAACAGCCCTGTTTCTCAAAAAGCGCTGGACAGCCACGTGCCGGTACCAATGCCCCTAACAGCATGCCTCGTTAGGTCACTCACGACACAGGAACACCAAATTAACTACTCACTTGAAAATTTAGGTAAAAGCCAAACTAATCACAAATGACCTGGAGATTAGTATAGGATCTTTAACTGAGGAGGTATCACTTCCGCTATGTGTCAGCTTTTGGTTTAATAATTGTAATCTACTCTGGCTGATTCACACCCTTTCTATGCCTATATGGCCTGAAACATTAAATGAAGTTGTACATACAGGAAGGAGGAAGTGATTTCAGAATAGGCGACACACTTACTTGCAGGGCACTTTCCAAGCATCGTTGCCATTCATACGCGTACCTCTCACTTTCCTGTTTGAAAGAAAAAGACAGTCTGAATCCCGTTCCTAATGCACAATAGACATACAGAAGACAGCTATATAAAGCAGCTATTTACAGGTTAGGTATACAAATGTTTTTAATACCTATTTCTGATTTTGTTCACTCTCCAAATGTTCTTTTTGAACTTTGAAATTTGATTTCTAGGAGTTAAAACTAGTTTCAAAAGGAAAAATAAATATGAACGGGTAAGAAGTTTGAATCGCACATTCCTACTCCAGACACGTTTTGTAACGGTTCTGCTGTTACCGAAATGGGGATTAGCAGAATTTAATCTGAGTTGTTTTACTCTCGATTCTCAACATGAGAGAGAGAAATAACTATCACACAGCCAAAAAAGTTAAGCTCTTTCCCAAAGCCCATGGTCTCAGAGCCAAAACTAGGATTAGATTTTAGTTGCAACGAATTTCCAGTCACAAGCTTAGACAACAAGTTCAAGTTATTCTGACAGTTTTAGACAACAAGATTTCCCCCATATATTACGAGGCTTTAAAGATAAGAAAGAAGAAGCCTCCTTAATAAGTAGTTTCCAATCAAAACCCCTAACCTTACCCAGGTTCTGTTTTAAAATCATGCCCTAAATTAAAAATAGCTAAAGCCCCAAGCAGCTGGGATAAAGAACACCTTTAATATCACGCTGATGGACGCCATTATTGATTTACTTGCATTCCAGATAATTCCTTACCTCAACTTCCCCAGTTAAGTCTTTGTATTTGTCTCTGATGACAGGCAAAGCAGGCTTCTCACTTAGAGTATTTGAACGATCTCTAAATGGTTGTTCCAAAACTGGTAAAGGTGAAGAGCGGCTTATTTCTCTGTCACCTAGGCTTAAGCTCCTTTTATGAGACCCTAAAAACGTTAGGATATAAACTAATTATTCTTCTACACATAAAGACAGTGACTACTTAAAATGAATAGAGTGGTAGCAAGTGATGCACTACCACTCTGGAACAAAGCCTTCTATTTACTCAGTGAAGGATGCAAATTTCCCCAGTTCTTCAGTTCTTACAATTGTTGGTACAGTAAGTTTTTATTTTTAAAAAGGGGCTGTTCCAAATGCTATAAAAATAGTGAGAAGATTCCGCTTGATTCCAGTAGTCTTTGGAACAATCCTCACTGGCCAATTTATAATTCAACTAGAGAAATAAGCATTTGATAAATGTATGCATCATGAGCTTCTTCCACCCCAAACATGCCTACCTTGAACAGAAAGGTCAAAGGTAGCCAGTTCACTCTTGATCATTTCTTCACTAGATTTCATCTTGCCTTGGGAAGTTGCCACCAAGAAGTCAAATTTGCTGATTTTTGGCTTTTCACTTTGGAATTCTCCGAAGTCATCTGTGGACTCTTTTTGCGTTTCAGAAGAGAGACCACTAGCAAGGAAGTCTACCTCTTGATTTGCGTCACTTGCTGCTACTGCATCCTGTGCTTCTGATGAAGGTCTTGCAAAATCACCAAACTCTCCAGTGTCATCATCACTTGGACCGCTGGATATTGGGCCAGAGTCTTTAAAGTTTGCAAAGGCTGCAAAGGGAACGTCCTGTAAAGCATCCTCACTAGAAAAGGTTGTCACTTTGGAAACTGTTGTCATGGTAATGTTTTCTGAACTGCCAAACAAAGTCTCCTTCTTCTGAAGAACTGAAGTGGCTGCAGAGGATCCACTTCCTGAAGGCTGGACAAAGGAAGAGAGCTTCTTGCCCTGATGAATGTCTTCTTTGTCGGACCAGTCATAGCTTGCCAGGCTGCTGACTGCAGACCCACTGTTATAGCTTCCAAATGGGGCACATTTAAAGTCATCTAGATCTGAGAAAAACAAACCCCTACAATTAGAAGCTGTAATTCAACAAATGTAGATCTCTCTACACTGCCTATAAATAATAGCAACTTGCTAAGAGCCTTAAAGAAAATGCAGTGAATTGTTTCAGTGAGGCTTAAACTTGAGTTTGCAAAAAGGTAATCTGAAAAATAGCTAAGCATATAATAAAAAAAAAAAATCTCTATTTAATAGATGTAAGCCTTGTCCTTTGTTTATTGTCTTATGCTTTAAGCTGAAAGTCACCATCCCATTACGAAGACTGAAGAAACATACTAAAAATACATATGTTTCTAGACAGGACACACCGCACAGATCACCAGTTTCATTTTGCTGATACTGGTTGCAGAAATCTACAAGCAAAATGTAAACATTAGCAACTCAAACATCTTATCAAATTATTTCATCTTATCAAAACCAACCACATAGAAAACTAGGCTAACTTTCCCATCCTCTCAGATAAAGTGTTAATTAACTTCAGTTTTATATTCATGCTTTGATACAAATAAAGTATAAAAACGTGCTGCAAGAATTAAAGGAAAAAAAAGAAATGATGCTTAGGGTTATCAGTTACTGCAGTTCTGCATGACTGACTCTTCAAACTTACAAGTTTCAGGAATGACATGAAAATTGCAAAGATCTTGTTTTAGCTTTTACATATTCAGATAAGCATAGAGAAAATCCAATTATTTTGCAGAAAGCTCCAAACATTTATACTCACCCAGCAATTATATGGGCCAATAGGTTCTTCTCACTGCCATAAGCAGGTATGAGAAACAGTCTGTTTGCTTACATTAAATCCAGCAAAAGGAGACTACACAGTGATACAGGTTCTGCTAGGCTTTGTCTGCTTCTCATGCAACTTATCTTTCACATTTAGACTGAGACTGATCCACAGGAAAGGCATAAAGAGTCAGAGGCTAGATAGTTTTCATTAAAGCATTAAAAAAAAAAAAAACAACAACCAAAAAACCTACAATACTACATTTGGCATTTGTTTTCCAGCATTAGAATTGTCAGTTTGGATTAGATGCTCAGCTGCTGCTCAGTGCCCACGGTCAAATGGTCTCAAGGTAAAGCAAACACAAACCAGAAAATACATTCTCTTAGCATCGTTTCAGCTGAGACTCTTCTGATAAACATCACAGTTTTAACTGGCTGGCACGCAGTAACAGCAACTTGGGTTTAATACAGACAGGGTGGAAACAAGTTGACATTCCAGCTGCCCTTTTTATTCAATCTGGCTATGCTAGCCTGAGGATTAAGCCATTTTAACAAAACATTTCGGCCTTCATTTATTCATTTTACTGGAAAGGGAGAATACTCTGTGCTTTAGGCTGCTTTCCAGGCCTGACCCACATACATGATTAATTAAGAAGTCTGACAGTTATACAAAATAATGATAGAAGAGTTTAATGGCTACTACAATAAAGTGAAAAGCTCCTTTGCAATAGGTCAGTGAGGCACAACGTGGCACATATCAGATATCCCTAAAGGATAGTCTTCATGCAGCTGCTGCATTTGCACACATTACAGCATTTCAATAATAAACCTTAGCATCTTGCACATACGTAGCAAGATTTCAAAGTGCCATTCACATGTTAAATCTGTGCAGCAGGCAGTTTGCGGAAGGGTAAAACAGACAAGAGATGAAATCATCTGCTTATAGCAAAACTGAATGGAAACAAGGCTCCAAGGTGAAAAGGAGCTGACTTGCAAGGGACCAGGAATTGATCACAAAAAGTGACATCTTAGTCTCTCCAATTTTTCACTTAAAGAAGTTAAAAAACAAGTTTCACTAGCATTAAAAAGATTGCCAGAAAAAAAATATTACATAACTGTAATTATTACTGGGAGCTTGAAAATATCACAGCCTAATAAGCATCCTCTTTATTTCAGTAGGGTATTGACTCCAAAACCCAAAGATTTTTGTGTTACTATTGTTTCGGTATTCATCAAGATATGAAAAGAAAGAGTGGTGATCCTATTAGGAAGATCTGCACAATCTATTGTGAGCAATTTCTTTGATAATCGGTAAGAGCTTGAGTTGTGCACACGGCCTAAAGGAACAGTCAACGTTCTCTTCCCGGTCTGATCCTGGCTCTCGGGCACACAGCATCAGTGGCACGTTTGGATGGCAATCCGAACTGCCAAAGCTTTGCCTGTAGGCAACAGGTCATGGCAGGATGATGTTTTAATTCTTCACAAACTAAGATTCAAGATTCTACATTTGAATTCAGGCAGACATGAAACCTACCTCTATAAGTCTAAAGAGCTAGGACAAAATGTTATAGTTCAATTTATACATTTTACTCATCGGTTCGGAAGAGTTTCACTGATGACAAATAAATTACTCTAGTGAATAAACTCCCCTAAAAGTTTTAAGTTATAGGGAAAACGTGTTTGGAGATGAAGTGTTCTTAGCTACAGTAGTCCTAGAACAATGTACTGAAAAGTATGAAAAATAAGAACGCACGTGCAACTCTCCATAATTTATAAATTTATAAGATTTTTAATTCTACTGAGAAAAAAAACAACATTTGCTAGGATTTGCACTGTATTTGTCACAACTTAGATGTTTTTCCATAGAGGAAATGGAATCATACTGTGTGATAGCTATGGTAAAAGCAAAGGCTTACCTAGGCTCTTAATACACTCGCTGTGTAATGAAAAGAAGAGAAAGAAGAGTTTCCTTTTATCCCTCCCGACAGGTAGCAGAGCAGCTTGCCACCAGACTAAGAAGCAAAGAAACAGTTTACACGTGAAAAGCCCCAGAGAACTCTTCGTGATGTGGGTATCTTTATTATTGGCACAAAAATTGTTTTATTAAGCAAAGTTAAGAATTGCTCCTGTAATAGGCTTTTTCTTCGAGACCACAAATACGAAGAATGAATAAATAAAGCTCCAGTTAAAATACTGCAATTATAACCTCTGGTGTAATAAAAGCTTCATTTTACTGTTATTGCAACTCAATATTAAAAAAAACATACACATAGCAGTAGTATTTTTTCAAAGCAAAAGACAATTAAGTGGAAAAAAAAGAAGCAAACTAATTGTAACTAAGCACTACACTTGGCAAAAAATAGATGCTACTGAGAAACAGCTACTGCCATTTCCTCCTGCAGGAAACTTTTGGTAAGGACAGAATCTTAACAAAAAATAACACCAAATTTTATCATAGAACGAGCAAAGACAAAATCCATTTAAAACTGCCAAAATGGTTTGCTTTCAGAATATGCAATCTTTCTTGGTAAGGTTAGAAGTAAAGTTATTTCTTATAGAAACCAAAGTTTCAAGAAAAATCACAAGTTTTCATAACAAAAAAAATACTTTGCAGCATAGGAAGAGCAAAAGCAATCTGCTATTTGAGTTTCTTTTGTTTGTTTTTTTAAAAGGATTATTAGCCTTCTAATATCACCTGAGTGACAGCTCAGCCTTTGCCGAGTTAAAATTTGTTACCGTTTGGAAAGCATACGGCAAATTGCCCTGTTGAAACATCCTAAATTGCTGTGTTAAGAATCCTGTAAGTCTACCACTAGAGATATTCACTAGATTTCAGTGAAAAGTGTTGTAACAAAACAGTATTCCTTAGTAGCCTCAGTGGCAATTCTGTGGTGTCTTTCAGAAATGACACAAGAGATTTGGATTTATTTTTGTTATAAAAATCCAAAGGCTATTACTCCCCATGTAGTTAAAGCCACAAGTAATTAGTGCTATGAGCTTTCTGTTGGCTAGACCACAAAACATACATCAGAGAAAATAAAAAGGATATAGATCCTCAAAGCACTTAAAGACAAGTGGCCGGGGGGGGGGAAGTGTGTCCGTGTGGGTGTGTGTCCATAAAATGGAACTCTGATCCATTCAAATATGTAATCACACGTTCATGCTACGTTGGTATATTAAAAATATTTTCCAATGAACCAGGAATGGAAAAAGCGATCTTCAGTGTCATGCCTGAGCGCAGTAAGTTTCTGGAGGTTTTAGGAGCAGAGCCCAGTTTGTATCTCTTCCGAAGTAAAAGGTTTGAAATATTTACCATTTACCTCCCATCTCTTTTGGGCTTCCAAAATCATATTCCCTGCTAAGCATGCAACCTGCCTGACAATCGCTTGGGAACAGCCACAGCTCTAGAAGTCGGCCATACAGCTGCTCATGAGAGGTAGAGTGATACTTGCCAAGGAACATAAAGAAGAAAACTGAGAGGATGAAATACAGGTAAAACACTGTTTCCCTGCGTTATCTAATCTACAGACAAACTTGACATACTTCATTCGAGCCAACTACAACAACTTGTTTCAACCACCATGGATTAAATTATGCCTGGAAGCAATTTATAAACTGGAGTTTTCCATGTCAAGGGTTTAATCATTCAAAGAAAACCTTTGACAGCATTAGCGATATTCTAAGGCAAAAGAGAAATGACAATTCAGCTGGTGTAATATATATTTAGTTAATTTAACCCACATAGGAGACTTTCACTTTTATATTTCAGTTCCTATTCAGCTCAGATGAATAAATACAATTACTGCATCATTTGCTGGTTGTTAAGGCAACTCAGGTAGTAGCTAGCTCTGTTCCTAGTGGAACAGCATCAATGCACCAAAAACCCCCACGAACACAGTTGTTACACTGGAACCGTCACTAGCAGTCTGAGCGAAAAGTCCAGAGACCGGATGGCTACAGACACCTCCTCCTTACCCCTTCCAGTGACGATTCTCCCGATATAGAGAGAGATGAAAACTGGAAGAATACAGATGCTTTACTACTACGATCTGTATCACGCCTATGAGCAATCAGAAAAATTCAAAGCCCGTCTCTCAGCTGGTGAAGGCTGGAATGGCTTCAACGATAAGGCAGCTACTCCCAACTTACTCCTGTTCAAGAGCAGCAGTATCTAGCACTGCTAATGTGGAAACCACCAAGAATGCTGAACAGATCACTTAAGACTAATTAAAATAAAGGAAAAAGGAGAGAAAAGCCTTCAAACCTTGTGGAATTAAGAAATCCTACTACTTATTTTTCATCATCACGATAAGCAATGTTTCATAGCAGAATAAAGACCCTCTGAGCTTGCATTAGAAGTTGGGAGACAGCTCAGTTTAATCCTTTAGAATCCTAAACTAGCATTTTGAATAGTCGCTTTGTGCATCTGGGCCTTTTTGCTCAACTTGGAATGTTTTCAAGAAACACGTATGTATCTGCTGTTCTTAGAGCTCTTAGCAGGATAAAGAAGTGTTTTAAAGCCCTTATGTTTGCAGAATTATTCTCAATGAGACCAAATGAGTGAGTTTGACTGTCAAGCCTGGACAAAAATGTAATAAGATAGACAGTCATGAACATTACTCTCCTTCCTCCAGGTATGATTAGCTGAACAAATACTAACAACATAGCCTTACAGAATTAAGTCTCTCAGGTTTATGTTCAAGCCTGTGGTTTAAAAAGCTTTAGGGCCAGACATAATGTACTAGTTGTCCAGAATGAAAGAGCTTTTTCTTTTAAAGTCTCTCAAGATCGTTGTAAAGAGGAAAAAATATTTTCCCTTCTAGTCTAGTTTTTGCTCTGGGGCAAGGAAGCCAAAAAAAAGTTTGCAGTGGTGTAACATTTGATCATTATCCCACATCTCGATTATTTTTAACTTTTTACCTTCTCTGCTAATTTGACAACAATTCAAAACTGTTAGTGACCCAGAACTTGAAAGAATTCAAAGCGACATAATTATGTAACACAAATTTGCAACTGTCAAATTTGCAAACTTGTCTGTGTTTGAAAGAACTTCAACATTTAGTAAGGCAGGACTTTCTGAATAGAGAAAAAGGAAGCAGGGCCCTTTATTTTGGGGCATTTGTTAACTCACTCTAGATTAGCAAAATAAGTATCAGAACATTATTTAATGGTCTCCGAGTCATAAGGGCCTAGACAGTTATAGATTTTCCCATGGGCCCTCTTCACAAAGTCATATGATAACCTTGGCTGGCAGTAGGCAAATATAGGCAAGGAGGAGACAACAAAACAGCGATGCAGTATTTCTGTCTTCACCCCAATCAAGCTACCGCCATAGCCTCACCACCAACGCACAGACACCAGCGTGACACCCCATACCTCTAAGTCTATTGCATCCCTCTCTCAAAAACTGCTCTAAATAGTCTTGTTTAGCCTATTTAACGTTTCAGAAGTGCGCAGGCAGCGAGTTCAACGCAGTCAGTTCAAAACGTTTGAAGAGCTGGAGCTCATGGGTTCATTGCTCTACAAAAGAAAGGCACCCACTAGTTTAAGGGGATACTATAACTTTAAACTTTGTTTTTTCCAGAAAAGAGAGATACATTGCTGGACTGCAAACAAATCACACACATCCCCACACTTTCAAAATATGCCAAGATAATATTTATTAACACAGCAGGACTTACAGGTCACAAAAGATAGTGATACATAGGAGCTCATAAGGGCGTTATCAGAATAAAGCATGCAGGTCAATACTTGCAGAAGAGATATCAAAGCAGATCTGAGAAGGCACATTCACACAGGAAATGTTTAGTTGAAATAAGACATTAGAAAAGCAGCAAAAAACCTGAAGTTGAATAAAATATACAGAGATTTCCAATTATGCCAAAGAAAAGGTATTTTACAGATTTGTAAGTGCAGCAAACTGGATAACCCTTTGAGAACACTCTGATTGAGAGTATACTCTCACTGCAACGTTCAGCAGAACTCGGAGCAAATCAGGTTCATACAACGTGACTAGATTCTAATTAAAATGCTTTAATCTTGGAGTAAAAGGTAAATTTGGTTTGAAAGAAGCAGCCTCGTTGAAATTAACGACATGCAGCCAGTGCTCAAAGGGTTATACGAAGTATATGCGAGAAAAATCAGGCAACATTAGTATAATCTACCTTCCACACAAAGAATTATAGCAAAGTTTAAAGAGACAGTATCCCCTTTGGAGAGAGCAAAACTGAAAATTTTTCTTCCCTCAGAGACGGAAATCAGTCACATGGGAAGCGACTAGATGTCCTCTTTCTCATTCTGGGCATAAACCACCTGCCTGCCCCTATCCAAAAGCTACACTAACACAAAATCTCAAAAGGCAAAGGATAAAGACATCTATATCAATATGTCAGAAAAGTCAAATCATTTACCACCACCTCCCATCCTACTGCTGTATTTCATTTAAGACACTACGCACTGCTTGCAAACAACACGGTTCCCAATGACTAGTCTGCCATTTCTCAATAGTGAGGACTACAAAGGGATACTGTCCCTTTTTGACATGAGATTTACAGATCAAAGAAAATGGAAAAAATTTTTTTTGCTTTTTAAGTTATGTAAACTTAAAAAAAAAAAAGACTTGAACATCAGCAGTTCATAGCTTGAAATGTATCAAACATACATAAAGGAACACATGAGCACAGAAGTATTTGTAACAAATAGTTCAGAGCAAGCTCCATTATGAGACCAAAACAGAATCAAACCGAGTAAAACTCTCCTTGTGGAAAAACATCTAGCTTGGCACTGTAAAGAGAATACAGGCTTGTTTCGTTTAATAAAAATAGCTTCTAATTAATACTTCAGAGTTCAAAAATTTAGCAACAAGCACATGATCGCCTAACCCCTTTAAATAACAACAAAAAAAATCTTTCCTGCCACAAATGGCAATTGTTAACACTGATTTCTGTGGCCAAAATTCACATCTAGTAGAAGAGCTACATAAGTCAAGCTACCACCAGAAGAGGCTAGAAAAATATTAGGAAAAAGTGCTTCCAAAACCAAAGTAAACATTCGAGAATACACTGTAGGTGCTACGTTTTTTGATAGCTCACTCAACTTGGAAATTTACCAAGCAGTAATATGAAAATTAAATGTCTTTGCTAATAAAATTATTCCTGATATTTTGTACCCTGTTATAGAGTATCTTCCACGTCAAAGTTGCCAACTTAATTTTCTTTTCCCTACCTAAAAATATCATATAATGCAAAATTACAGTACATTTTATCTACCTTCATCTGCAAAAACGGAAGAAATATTTCATATGGAAATAACCAATTTTTGCAGTAACAGCTTTTAGGTTTACAGTTTGTGTGCTCCCCCTGTTCAGAAAAGCCTTTGACTGCATAACACTTGTCACTAGAACACAGTAATGGTTCCTGTATTATCGAAGGCCACAAAACATTTAACTACATCTTATCTTCCTATGTACATATGAGAAGAAAAAGCAGGACACTTGGGAAATTTGTTTTATGATATGCAGTCAGATTGGAGATGGTTAATTCATTCTCTCAGGAATACTTTCATAAGGGGAAGTTAAAGAAGGTTATAACCTGATAAGGATAAAGTAAAAGTCCCTTAGTTTTAAATTTAGGCTCGAAAGCTAGCGATAATCATACTAACATTTACAAGTCCTTTGCACAATTATTCCAGTAAAGGTTTTAATTCTAAAAAGCATATGCAATACTTTCACTCGCAGTCCTGCAAAATACTGGCTACAAAGACTAAGCCCCACCATAACGGGAATATACTGGTGTTGTTAATTAGACAGCTTTTCATTAACAGCACGAATAAGTGTTCTGCCTACCCTTTTAGAAGCACAGAACAGGTTAAGCCCCCAAGCCAAATACTTTGTTGAAACCAAGAGATTAAAGCAAGACTTTCTGCCGCTCATCTAGCTCATAGAAATGGAACGACATTGTTTCCATTAGAAAATTTTCCACTCAAATCCCTTAAGTGACAATTGCTAACAGGTATCATTAACATAACGTTGTCATAGCTCAAAAATAAACTGGAACTGGGTTCAAACTGACCGATCTATTTATAGTCATCTAAGACAAAAAACCCACAACCAAACAACAACAAAAAAAACACTGCCCTTTTAAGGGGCTGGCGGCTAGCAGGTGCACAGATTCAGAAGCCCTTCACTATTGAAAGACTAGTGCATAATACTGTAATTTAGCACACAGAAGAATACTGAAATCTCCATCACCTACATTACCAGAGCAATCTAACCAATTCCTCACCTGCTGCTGGTGGATGCTGGCCACTAACTGTTGGCAAATCCAAAGAGCTATCAGACATGACATGCTTAAGATCTCCTCCCACATCTGCCAGTTTCATGTCAAACTGAACGGACAATGCATCTTCAGAATCTTCCTTGCCAACACTGCTGCCACCGATAGAAGGGAGATCTAGAGACTTCACTGAAGCAGAGTCTTCTTTGGCCTGCTTGAAAGCTGCCACTTTGTCTACCAAGGACTTATCTGCGCTGTTGCACGTGGAAGAAAACTTGTTAGAGTGAAAGTCGGCAAAATCATCATCGCTCTTCACTGAAGAAAGTGTGTTGTCCTTCCCTTCCTCAAAACCTACTCCAGAGCCTTCCAGAGAAAGCTGTTTGAAGATATCATATTTAGTGGGTGTAGCCGTGGTGGCAGAATTCTGCCCACTCTTCACTGCACTGGCAGATGAGCCAGACTGAGGAACAGGACTGGCCTCTAGTTTAAGTGCATTGTACTTGTCATCCATTTTCTGTTCAGAAAATCCACTGCTATTGTTGAAAGCCATAAAGTCTGCAAAGTCATCTTGCCCACCAGCTGCCGTGCAATTAGAAAATTCTCCAAAAAGGTTAAACTCTCCAAAGTCATCAGCTAAGCTTGAGCCTTTGCTGGGTGCTGGCTGGGCAGTAGCAGATGGAAGTGGTGGCAAAGGAAAAGAGGCTGATTTTGATGTATTGAATGCAGGTGGAAATGATGGCTGCTTGTTCTCTCCAGTAGAGGAAAAGAGATCCAAGTCTGCTAGATTCAAAGAGGCCTTTGCTTGTGTTTGTTGTT